GAATTATACTGATTATATCTGTTTTACCTGGTTTAAAGAATTTCACATGATTTCCTCATTCACCGCTGCTTAAATGATTTTACTATTTTGGTATAGAACTGCTTAGTGCCTTTACGTGATTTCATACTGTCAGCTATTATTTATTGTTATTACTCACTGGGTCGGAGTACTCANCGAGGTAGCTGCATGGCGTTCGCAGACCCGATTTCTCCTTCTATCTCCACTTATTATTACGCATTTTAGACATATTTCTGTATTAGATTGTTGAAACTTTGTATTAGAGGCTCAGACTTGTGACACCGGATCAGTGGGCTGTTTTACAGAGATTTTTCGTGATTATGGTCCGCACATTTCATCTGTTAAATTCATACTTCTATTTATATAAATTGGTATCTATTTCCGAAAATTGGTATTGAATTATAAAGAAAGAGATTGTGAGATGTCAATTGGTCGGGCTTGCCTAGCATTGTGTTGGGCGCCATCACGTCCGGGGTTGGGGTCGTGACATGAACAATATAAAAAATTGTTTAAGCACAAGAAAACACCTTTTCATAACATTTTCCTACTTCGGGAAGAAATTTTAATTGTGTTACTTCTTCATGAGCAAATTTAAAATAAGAAAAATTGAGTATATATTCTCTCAATCATATTGCCTCTTATGGAGGTGAATCATAATATATTTACATCAATATCTCGCTCATATTTATAGCTTTATTAATATTGTCACATTCACTTCAGTGAGTTGATTAATATTTATAAAATATTCTCATCCTTCAGGAAATCGAACATAATTATTTTAGCACGCATTAATCACATCAAATTGTGATGCTTCAACCTCTTTTAAAATATTTATTACTTCAGGAGCAAATTGAGGCGTGCATGTATATAGAGAATATTTTTGTAGCTTCTCTTCAATTGTAATCATAGAAAGGCTAAATTATCACTTCTGGTGGTCATAGACATATACCACTTCCGGTGGTTAACAAAATTTAGTTACAATGAGATATACGAAACATAACCACTTCTGGTAGTTGTATATTTCTTGCGAACTCTGCTGGAGTTTAAGTGGATCTAACAATGTTATCCACTTTGTAATCCTTTATTAAGATAATTTGAATGGAAAAAAAATACCCAAATAGGTACTGTATACGTAGCATATAACCAAGCAAGCGATGATAAAGATATTAAATCAAATATAAGCAAAATGCTCAAATTACTTTATACAAATTTGGCCACTCCAAACGTAAGTGATATCCACATTACTACCGCCAAGAAGAAAAGCTTACCACCTAAAAGATATAATCTGCCTTATGATGCTCGGAATGAACAAAATCTAACCACGGACGTAAGAGCGTCACCTTACATCGAATATGAACACTGAAATAGAAACTAAATTCGAAGTAAGTGCTCAAAATGACAGAGCATCGTGTTGATAACGTGTTATAAAATAAAAACTGTAAAACAAATAAACCGAAGAGAAGTATAAAGAGAGATTGATATATTATTCAACTTCAAACTGACGTACATAATGAACTGAGATCTCTTCTATTTATACAAAAAGGGAAGCTGCTACCGCAAGCTGTTGTGTAAGCTGCTACTGTAAGTTGTTGTGTAAGCTGCTTGTAAGCAACTGCTGCAAGCTGTTGTATAAGCTGCTTGTAAGCTCCTACTGCAAGTGATACATAAGTAATACAAATTAAACCGAGTTATTAGCACCATATAACTTATATCTGAGCAAGTTATGTTATGTACATGTTCAAAATACCAATCAGAATACAATTATCCACTACTAATACAAGTGATACATAAGTAATACAAATTAAACCGACTTATTAGCACCATATAACTTATGTCCGAGCAAGCTATATTATGTACATGTTCAAAATACCGATTAGAATACAATTATCCAAAATAAGGGATCGGATTGTTTCGTTTTCACTCAACCCTAAATGAATTTACAAGTTTTCACTATAACAAAATAAGCATTTAATATTTATTTTTTTGCAGCAGTTTTAGGAAGGAGGAGGAGGGAAAAAATCCTTCAATAATAGGTCAATTGTAAATCACAATCCTAAATTCAAAAAGAAAAAGAAATAAAAAATTATAGAGCACAATTTTTTTTTATCAAACATTATAAAATAAAAAAATTGGCCGAGTAGCCAAATATATAAACAACGTATTATATTGACTCTATAGCAATGGGTTTTTGCATTTAAAGAATCACTTAATTAGTATTTTATCCCCCCCCCCCCCCCATAAAATTAAGTTACTTTCTCTAAAAGGGGAAGTTATATATTTGGCTATTTGGCCAAAAATATCCCTAGCCAATATTCAAATATTGTACAATAATTATGCATAATATATACATTTATCGACTACTTTTTCGACGATCAGCTATTTAAGTTAATTTCTCTAAAATTAATATGGTTTGTTCATAATTTTATCATAAGGCACTTGGCTATTTTAACCCTTGAATTGTTTTGGTCAACCACCATAATTTTAAAAAAATTCGCAATATTTTGAGACTTTTGACGATAAGGAAAAACTTAGGGGACAACATTACGTACCATGCTGCAACTATGTGAATTCCAGAAACATTTATGGTAATTACATTTTAGAGATTCCGTTTCCTTTTCCGACAATATGTTTAGTTACCTTAGTTTCACAGGAAATCATGAGTTGAGTAATTGGAAATTAATTTTCCTAAACTAGCATGCATGTTTTCCTTAAATTCATAGTCCCAGCAAGGATCGGAGACCATTAACTACGTCTATAAAAGCCTCAAATCGGATCCTCATAGCCTCATTCACTCAAATCATTAATATTCAGATTCAGAGTTTAATTCTTTGTTAGCAATATATAGCATTGAAATATATACAAAAATTTACTACCAATTATGGCTTTATTCAGAAAGGCAATGATGTTTTTGTTGGTGGTTATAATGACTATCATAGGGTCAACTATGGCTGAGGTGTATGAAGTTGGTGATTCTGCAGGATGGGATTTCAACGTTGATTATAATCATTGGGTTTCTTCCAAAAAATTTAAACTTGGGGATTCTCTTGGTAAGATCTTCGTTTTCCTCTTTTTCTTTTTAATACTTATAATTTACTTTAATCTTAGATTCTTAGCTATTACTTTAATTTGGTTATAGATGTACTCATTCTTTTGGCCGGCACCCTCAATTTCCTATTGTTCTTTTTGTAGTATTGTGTTTTTGGGAACACATTTATATGTTCATTTGTTTTATGTCTGCAATGCGATTTTGCCCTATTATTTTTGGTTTACTTACATATTTTGGTGTAACCTGCAGTATTCAATTACAACCCACGGTTGCACAATGTGATGCAAGTGGACAGCAACGACTACAAGGCATGCACAGATAACCATCCAATAGGAATATACAACACCGGCAGCGACAGTCTTACCCTGGAAACACCCGGCGATTACTTCTTTTTGTGTGGATTTCCAGGTCATTGTGCTTCTGGACTCAAATTTCACATCAAAATCTCAACTCCATTTACTCCTCCTGCTGCTCCACGAAATTCTAGCTCCCGCTCTTCTCCTCCGGCGACGTTTACTCCTCCTGCCGCAACTAATGGCGATCCTTGGCTTCCTGGTTTTCTAGCTAACAAGCCTAAAAGCAGTGCTTATTCATCCAAATGGTCACCCATGACCATGTTGCTTCTTGCTGCTACTCTGTTTCTAGGCATGGTTTATTGAACTGCACAGATCGATCGATCGATCGAGCTCGTCATAATTAGACAGTAATTAATTTTGTACTAACTTTTGTTAGCGGGTTTAATTTCCACCCATTTATTAGTAGACGCTTCTGGATTACAATTGTTACTTGTATGTTTCTTAGCTTAATGTTATAATAATATTCGCAGTTACTTACATAATACTAGCAGTCCGACCTATGTAATACTCACCTTATATAATACTAGCATTTTATTCCGTTATTTTTTGTATTTTTATATCAATTGGCTATTACACACATATAGAATTTTTTATGTTTAAATATTTATTTAAATGTTATAAACAAAAATTATTCAAAAATCAATACAACTTAGTACTCATTCTCCAAATCTTAAACTTTATACAATATGAGAAACTTTTGTTAAATGGAGTAGAAATATATGTGCAGATCTTTCAGCATGGAGAAATCTTTAATTATGAAAATATGTACTCAAGCAAAAATACCATTCCATTTGAATGAATGGTTGTGACTGACTTCTAGTAGGAAGCTTTGGGTTGGGCTGTTTGTAGGCATTTTTTTTTTTTTTTAAACCAAGGTTAAGTTTTTAAGAAGGGTAATAATTTAACGTTTAAACTTAAACCTTCCCATTTTTAACAAAGTATAGAAATAAATATTCTATTATATGGCCATATTAAAAACACATGTAAACACCAAACATGCCAAAATCATAAGGACCAACAATACATTTTAATCTTACGACGTCGTTTAAATTAAGTAAGGGCAAAATTGGAATCGAATAGCAGCTAGGGTTTTGAGCTATAGGCTGATAAAACCCAGTAAGGTCACATTGCTCAGCCGCTTGCAGAGCCCTCCATTTTTTTGTGCGTTGCATTTGGGAAAACCTAAACCCTAGGGCCCTCCATCGCCGGCAACAATGGGTAAATGCAATCAATTTTTTCACTCCCTTACAATTCATCTTATTTCTTCAATGTTTTTTTTTAAGGAGCAATTTATTATGGTATTTTATAGGTATCTCTCGTGATTCTATGCACAAGAGACGGGCCACTGGAGGCAAGAAGAAGGCTTGGAGGAAGAAGAGAAAGTATGTACCCCTAACTATCTTATTTATTCAATGTGCTTTTTTATAAGCAATTAATGTGCAAAAATTGATGATTTCCTTATGATCTGCAAATTTTGGCATGTTTAAGGATTTAGTGTTTATCGGCAGATTGTAGCAATACCTCACCTAGTGCTTTGTTACTGCGTTCTGTATTGAATATATGAAAATTCTACATGCATCCTATTGTGTGGAGTTTAGGCTAATGGGGATTCCCTGTTTTTGTCATTATAAGGATTTAGTCTAATGAATAGGCTGAAGCAAGAAGAAAAAATGTAGAAGAGGAAGTATAACGTAAAGACGAAAGGTAATGTAAATGAAGAAGAGAAGGAAAAACGTGGAAAAGGTGATGAATTTCTCATTGATCCATGCCTACCATGATGAGTCTAACTGACTTAATGAGAATGAAAGAGAGTGAAGCTGCTCACTTTCTCTCGCTAATAACGTGTTTTAACTAATTAGCTAATATCAAGGATATGATTGAAACAGAAATGAGTGATGTGTACTATTGGTCGTGTACAACCAAAAATTTCAGTGTACTTCCATTGGTCTTTTCTAAGTCTCTCTCTTGATCCCAATTCTATTTGATTTTTTATTTAAATGATTGATATATATGACTAAATTATGTTTTTTGCTGTTACTTTTTGAGATTGACTTTGTATCTCTTGTTCCTGTGAAGGTACGAGCTTGGCAGACAGCCAGCAAATACAAAGTTGGTTCCTAATGCTAAGACTGTTAGAAGAATAAGAGTCCGAGGAGGTAATGTGAAGTGGCGTGCATTGAGGTTGGATACTGGGAATTACTCTTGGGGAAGTGAGGCTATTACAAGGAAGACTCGTTTATTGGATGTGGTGTATAATGCCTCTAACAATGAGTTGGTTAGAACGCAAACCCTGGTGAAGAGTGCGATTGTTCAGGTTGATGCAGCTCCATTTAAACAATGGTATCTCCAGCACTATGGAGTTGATATTGGTCGCAAGAAGAAGACTGCTGCTTCCAAGAAGGAAGGAGAGGTATTTGAATGTCTTTTTTCATCTTCAATACTCCTAATTTATGTGCTATCTTTTTTTCAATGATCTCATAATCTTGTTTTGCTGCTTTATTGTCTTGAGGATGTTATGTATGGAAATTCTTATTGTTAAGAGGGTTGTGTCTTTTCTTTTGGCGTTTAACGGTTTGTGCTGTAGGTGGTTCTGATAAAGGATTTGTTGAACTTGTATTTGTTATCATTGGATTGCAGCTTTAGCTATGCAAGTTTCAACCGAAGCCTTTCTCTGTTTTGATTATTTTTGTTTGGTTGATTGACAGGAGGCTGAGGCTGTTCCAGAGGAGAAGAAGAGTAACCATGTCCAAAGAAAGCTGCAAAAGCGACAACAGGATCGCAAGATTGACCCACATATTGAGGAGCAATTTGCTGGTGGGCGTCTATTGGCTGCAATCTCATCACGACCTGGCCAGTGTGGTCGTGCCGATGGGTAAGAACTCTCTACTGATTCTGTGTGATATTTAGGTGAAAATTGCCAATTCCAAATGAATGATAATGGTATATTTTTCTAAAAGTCTGTTTCCCCCAACGTCCTGGTAAATTGCATTAGCTACTCTTAGCTTTGAGATTATTACTAGGAAGATTTACTATAACATCTTCCCAATGAGATTCATGATTATTTCTGTTTTCCAGAGGGAATTAGATGGTGCTAGAAGGATTATTTCTGTTTTCCAGGAAGATTTACACTTTTTCTTCATTTAACTTTGACAGATACATCTTGGAGGGTAAGGAACTTGAGTTTTACATGAAGAAACTCCAGAGAAAGAAAGGAAAGGGTGCCAGTGGTGCTGCTTAGAATTGCACCTCCATTTTTTTCACATTATGATAAGTTCAGGACAAATTAGATTGGTCGTTATTCCGTATTCAGTAGTCTTCATTGGAAGGGAACGATAACTTCTTGTAACAGAGATAGATTCAAGTTTCTTTTGCATATGGTTAATCTAAAAGTTTTGAGAACTGCCTACTTTATCAAAAGAAGAAATTTGAGAACAGCCTTATCACTCGATGACTGTTTTTTCTAATAGCACCATTTAACTCTTTGCTGTACTTCCAATCCTTTGATTTTGTTTATTGCATTTTCAAGTTCAGTTTTATCTCATCTTAAGTCATTTTTGAGGTGATTTCATGACCGGACTGAAATCATTGTGCAGTGCCATCACAAATTTGGAGACTGTCATATTCCAGAGTTTGTGCAGCTGTCATGTTCTTAAGACAAAGCATGCTAATATGAGCATAGATTGCAGAATAATAAGCTAAAACAAGATACAACGTAAGGCAAATTGCAGAATCCCTTCTCCAAATATGTTAAAAATTGCAGTAAGAATAATTAAGTCCATACTCGAATGGGTTCTTCAACATACCATGATATAGTTCATCTTTTCAAATGCAACATCTCTCATTTGTAGTTTGTTAGGGTATAAATAAATGGAACAATTGTTTCAACCTAGACAAAAAGCTGCAAACGACGAGCATTCTTCCACAGTTACTAGAAGGCATTTATGACGATTCAACCAAATCGTGGTGGTCAACAAAAATTTACACATACGTCAAGTCTGAAATATGTTCTTCACCCCCCCCCCCCCCCCAAATCCCCGCCCGTCTTTAGATAATTAGATTAGTCGAATTGGACTTTCGCTATAATATATCGATCCACCATAATATGTTGGAAGTTCATACACAAGTGCTCCAATCTCCAGTATATTATGCTGGAACTTTCCGCGTGTTGGAGTTCCAGCATAATATGCTAGAAGTTTATACAGAGGTGCACGAATCTCCAGTATATTATGCTGGAACTTTTCGTATTACAGCAAAATAGTGACTATTTTTCAATTACTTTGCAAACGCTGGCTATTTTTCAATGACCCGTACGAAAACTGGCTAGCACGTGCTATTTTTACGAGGAGAAGGCATAGGAGTCCGGAACCTAAATGTGGTTCTTTTGGACTCAAAACACTTTTTTAAGGGTAAAAAAGAAGAAGAAGTTACATTTTTATATAAAACGAGGTTCATTACCGCGTTTTACATAAAATGTTTTTAGATACCGTGTTTTTATAGTAGATGATACGACTGCTATATAAAATGCGGTCCATTACTGCGCTTTATATAAAACGCGGTAATGAACCGCGTTTTATATATTTTGTGGGCCCACCAATAATTCTTCTGCGCTTAAGTGACATAACAATAATTCAAATATGTAAAACGCTCTTTTAAACCGCGTTTTACTTCCAAAAATTTGACCCCCTGGATTAGGCATTGCCTTATTTAAAGGCGTTAAGGGTTTTGAGAAAAATCATTCAGAAATACACCAACTTCGTGATAAATTTTTCTTCTTGCTAAATTCTCAAGCTTTTTTCATAATGCCTGAAGAGCGAAAAGTAAGAGTTTCATTATATTGGGGAGGGGGGGGGGAGGTGGGGTTGTGGTGACGAATAACTCAGTGAGCTATAGTTTATCTCCACAGATTCATGTTAAGTTGCCACTTACAATGAAGTACGATAGACTAGTATCGTTGTTATACAATAAAATGAGGTTGAGCAAACGTTCGATGAATCTTAAAATAACCGGAAGATATTCGTATTCTGTGACTCCGAAAGGGAATGCTTGTTACGCTGAGTTTAACATCGAGGATGGTGAAACTCTAAGAGATTTTTTGGGGACTCCGGATGAATACCGCGAACTTATTTTGATAACAATGTTGGAAATGTACGTGAAGCATGAAGACGTTCGCAATAATGATGTTGCGCAAAGTAGTGATAACTCTCAATCATCGGGTGGTTATTTTGGAGCAGTTTTAGCCCAACAGATGTTTATTTTTTTATTGAATTAAATTTGTATTAACACTCATATATTCGATAGGGGGTACCGTCCGGATATGAATTTTACAAGTTATGACGCCATGCCCAGTTGAAATATGCGTAGTTTTGTCGTGTTGGATCATGGTGGTCCATCCGGGAGTCATCACCAATAGAAAAATGTCCATCATGGAATGTCAATACATTACGACTTGTAAGTGAAGTGATATAGCTATATATAAAGTATTTATGAATTTGAGTAGCTTATCATTTTGTTGTTTGTGCAGTGAAAATGAACAACTTGATGGTCCTGACTTCACTCAGCTGCCCGTAGACGACGTATTTATTCGTGATTTGACATAAGCGCAGAGTCAGGAAGATAATAGTGATTATGAAAACAATGTCGATGAGTCTGTAGATGACGCACCCTTCCCTGACGAGGGTGATGCTGAGGAGAAAGTGAATGTCGAACTTCAGCTGACAAGGGAGCATGCTCCTCCACCTCCCGTTAGACCAAGAGTGTATGACTCCCACGTACCGTTTCATTCAAGGCATATTCCCTACCTTGCTAATTTGCCAAGTATGCCGGATGTTGATACCCTCACAAGGGATGCTAACGAAATTCGATCAGCAATTTGGGATGAGTCTAGACCAACAGTGCTGGCAAAGGGCATGTATTTTTTCGATAAAGCTCGCCTATCCAGGGCTTGTAAAATGTACAGCATAAGAGAGTGTCGTGAGATGACACTATGGAAGTCAACTCCAGAGGTATACAAGGTAGTATGCCGTAGATACTTTATGGGTTATAACTGGATGTTGCGTGCGAGCAAGAAGGAAACAAGGTTATGGAAAATGGGTAAATATATTAGCACACACGTTTGTGAAATGGACATATTCAATGAGAATCACTTCAACTTGGATGTTGGCTTGATTTCTTTTGTCTTGATTTCACACTTGGAATTGTCCATTAGGTACAAGATCAAAGACTGTATTACATCCGTCCACCAGGAATATAGGTGTATTATTACCAAAAGAAAGGCATATCTCGGGCGCAAACATGCATTTGAAATTATTTATGATGACTGGAATAAGTCATTTTCATCTCTACCCAGGTACATGGCCGCATTGAAACACTTTAACCCCGGGACTGTTGTTTAATGGAAGCATTAGTGGAGTGCAGGAATACCCGAACATATATTCAGATACATGTTCTGGGCATTTAAACCAGTAATTGATGGTTTTATGCATTGTCGTCCGGTAATTTCCATAGACGGTACTCATATCTATGAAAAGTATAATATTAAGTTGTTGATCGCCGTTGCAGTAGATGCCAATGGACAAATATTTCTACTATCTTTTGCCATCTGTGCCAATGAAAGCCAAGAGACGTGGACGCTATTGTTGAATCACTTGAAGCAACACATTGTCAAATAACGTTCAGGTATTTGTCTAATATCTGATCGACATGGTGGTATATTAAGTTCTGTAGAGTATTTGCCTGAATGGCAGTAACCCTATGCATACCACCGTTACTGTATGAGGCACCTGAAGGCCAATTTTCAGAAGAAATATCCAAACAAGGACTTGCATAATTTAATGTGGATGTATGCAACTGATCACCAGCAGTGCAAATTCAGGAGGCGCATGGAATTGATGTATATATATTTTCTGGAGTTAAGGTATAAGAAACAAAAGTATTTTATGTTAAAGAAATAAAGTTTAATGGACATAATAATTTACCAGATCGTTGTCGTCGATGCATGAATCAGTCATAACCACTTCAAATTATTGGAGGATTCTCTTCTTCATTATCACTGCTAGTAGAAGAGTAAGATAGGGCATCACTGCTAGTAGAAGAGTAAGATAAGGCTCGTTTGGTAGCGGAAGAGGTATCCATAGTTTAGGGTTTGAGTATGTGAGTGTGTTTTATGTCTTTAGGGTTTGAGTATGTGAGTGTGTTTTATGTTTTGAGTATGTGACTATATCTATAGGGACACGCCAAGCATAGCGCAGTTAAATACTACGTTTTATGTGAATATATATATAGCGCGGTTGAATACTACATTTTGTGTGTTGACTTATCGTTTTGAAAAGTTGTTTTGTTTCAGAAAGAATCTTTAACACGCCAAGCATAGTGCGATTAAATACTATATTTTGTGTGAATATATATAGTGCGGTTGAATACTACGTTTTGTGTGTTGCCTTGTCGTTTTGAAAAACTGCATGACTGCGAAAAATCTATTTTGTCTCAAAAAGAATCTTTAACACGCCAAGCATAGCGCAGTTAAATACTACGTTTTGTGTGAATATATACAGCGCGGTTGAATACTATGTTTTGTGTGTTGTCTTGTCGTTTTAAAAAGCTGCACGACTGCGAAAAAGCTGTTTTGTATCAGAAAGAATCTTTAACACGCCAAGCATAGCGCGGTTAAATACTATATTTTGCATGAATATATATAGCACAGTTAAATACTACATTTTGTGTATTGCCTTGCCTATAAATAACAAGTGCATTCTAGTTATTTTCTGTGCTTATCAATAACCAATAGCAAAAATTTCCATAAAAGCAAGGTTTTTTTTATGCTTTAACAAATGTCTGAACGCCTTTATGTACCAAGGTGCGAGTGCGGAAAAAAATGCATCATGAAAGACTGTTGGGATGATGGTGAAGTTGGACGCCGCTACTGGATGTGTTTGAACAAGTTTTATAGGGTTCCCGACGAACCTTTTTGCAGTTTTGAGGTATAGATTGATGAATCCTGTCACCAGGAATGCTACAAATAATCTTTGCAGTTTCTTCATGATTTGACCAAAAAATAGTGGGAATATGAACGAAAATACAAACGAGAAGTTGCGGAGTTGAAGGGGAAACTCAAAGAGGTGGAAGAAGAAAAAAATAAGTTGGAAGAAAAATTTAAGTCGTTGGAGCAGAGAATACTAGGTGGCGGTGACTAATGTATGACATGTATGTGTTGAGTGTAGTACTTTATCTTTATGTTTCCCGTGACATGTGGTTTCATTAGTTGTACATGTGCGCCTTCCAGCAAATCCAATATATCCCTGCACAAGGAGAGATTATGCCGAGCCTCGTACTAGCGCGTATGTCCCCCCCTCCCGGAGTACCCACCTACTAGCTAGAGAGAGAAACTCCGGTGGTACATCTAGATCTAATAGTGGTAGAGGTGGTTGCAACTGCAGAAACCACTCCCAAACC